GGCACATCCCACACGCAGCATCTCACTTGGACTTCTCTGCACCTTCTGTACTCTTTTTCTGCACTCCCAGCACATGCACAGCCTCTTGCTGTCCTCTGGCTCTCCTTCCCTAAAAGGCTTTTCTGCTAGGGTGGGAAATCAGCTCTTCTTGGTATATGCAGCATCTGTTTCTCAGACACTTGCAGGCACTGTCACCAAATTCAACGTGATGAAGGTTTAATATTGCTCCAGGATTGCATGACCCAGTGCTAATGATTTAAACCCTGCATGGTCTTTCCTGCTCTCTCAAGGCCAACACACTGCATGGGGCAGAAAAGAAAACGTGTTCCATGTTAAATCTAGCAGTCATTTTTATGCATAACCCTAAAGACTTTACCCAAGCAGCATTCATCCTTGCTTCCCATTCAACCCCAAGGTTCCCCAGAACAGTTAAGAAGGACTTTGCACATCAGAACAGTCCAGTTGTGACAAACACCCCAAGGATAAGCACTGGACATGACAAGCTTTCCCACCACATTTCTCCAGAGTAACCTTACAAGCCCATCTTTCACTTTCTAGTCCTTGCTCTGCACAACAAGGTCCAAGCAACCACTTGGCACCACCAGCCACAGCCCATTTCCAGCATGCACACATCCCAGAAGGCAGCACAGCCAACCTGACCACAAACCACTCCCAGTTCTTGAAGGAAAGGCAGAAAAGATAAGGAGGGATGGACCTTTCTTTCCCTGTGATCATTTTAGAAGTTTTTTACTGTGAATCTCTTAAAAGGTAAGAAGAAGATCTGGTATCCTCCTTTCTACTTTGCAGAAGATAAGCTGTGATTAAGCATGGAAGTCCTTCTGAGTTTTGCCTAGTTCCCATTACCACAGTGCCCAAATATCCCATTGTGAAACGAAATCCCCCCCTCCTTCCATGCACAAGAAACATCAGGGGGTTTTCAAAAGAGAAGAGCAATCCTGGCGCCTCATATTCTGAAAATGCTGTGTAGCCGACCTTTGAAAAGCAATTCTGAAATTCTTCTCATCAAAACAGAGACTCCTAAAATCACTTCTTCTATTTACTAATGTCGGTCACATCTCTGCCCTGATGGTTTTGCAATGGAATTCAAGTTTATGGTCTGTACTCTATAGCCTTTAGTTGCTGCAATTTAATGCATACTTAAGACCCAAACAATTGCAAAGATCATGCACAGAATCCTCTTGCTGCTTAGACTACACGTGTTTTACATTGCTCGGTTTTTATGGTATATTCCATGCTATTCATGCCTTGTGTTTCTATAGCATCTCCCACGTGAAGGGCTCAATACACTTCAGAAATGTAAATGGAACTGAAGCATCCCAGCAGGACTGGCAGAACCCCCTGCTCTTTAACTACCGAGTGGTGCCTTTCTGCTCCCCTGTGAAGCCCATGATCTTCCATGGAAAGCTGCCAAACCGGTGCAGGACTAGACTAGTTCATCCCTGCAGTTCCTTTGGCAGGCACTGGTAAGTGACTGAGGTCTGTGTCCCTCCCAAAGCACAGAGCCTGCATGCACCCAGTTCTGTGCAGCTCTGGAAAAGGGCAGAGCTGAAAACTCCGCTGCTGTGCAGCCAGCCCCAATCCAGCCCTTCTTCCCCTGAAGCCCACAGCACTTCAATGACAGACACCCTCCTTCCCCACCCAGGGGGCTCTACCAGCACTTTACTGCTGTCACTACCAGAAAAGCAGGACATTCTGCTGAAACTGCTCAGAAAGAGTCAGGGAACGAGGAACGAACGTACTAACAGTGCTATTTCTTTTGCACAGAGCTGCCATGTGTTCAGGCTTTCCTGGATACGGTTTTTTTTCTCCTACCAGTTTTGCCTGGCAGATGTAGAGGGCTCTGAACACCCTGGATGTCCAGCAGCCAGCCTGCAAGCAGCAACTGTTGGACTTTGGAAATACTTGCTTTACATACACAGGGATCGATCCTACACTGTGTGTGTGACCCTGGGAGACCTGAGCCTGCTCTGTGCTACAATAAACCCAACTGACTGCACACACATGTTGGGTGCTTCCTGCAAACGCTCACCTCCCCAATAAACAGATTTCTGCAAGTCTCACCACCTCAACCTGACTTTTAGCAAGTTGTCTTGTGCCACGGTGTATCTGTGGGATGCTGTCGTAAATCTGCAAAGTTCAGCAAAAGCCCAAAAGGAAAGGTATGGTTTCAGCTGAATGAAAAAGGTCAGCCAAGAGCAGCACAGTAACACAACCAAGCCGATCACACGAGGCATTCGTCAGATCTTGTTCCTGTGTGCTGCTCCCAGGTCTCTCTCTCTGGGCTCCCACTGGGCCATCATGCCTCTAACCATGCCCACATACAGAGACATATGCTCTGCTTTAGTTAAAATTGACTTCTTGTCATGTTATGCAACTGAGCTCTCCTCAGTGTTATCTTTTGATTGACTCCTCCACTATTCCCCTCCCAATGCATTTATCTGAGGCCACTGACAGCCAGCAAATACTGACTACATCTCTGCTCTTTGGCAGCTCATTCTGGCAGTGTTTTCAGACAGTTTGAGAAGTGGGTGTCACTTACATTAGCTCACTCTAAAATGCATATAATCCCTCCTGCAAATTCTAGGCCATGGATTTTAACACAGTTTCCAAAGTAGGTGTGAGGACTGCTCTAGCTGTGCTAATTTAGTTCCTATTGATTTATCTCGTCTCCTTTCACGGCAGCAAATTGTAAATACTTCCTTTGCTTCACTCAGTGTTTGCTCCCCACGTGACAACTCTCTAGCATTGACAGAATGTGTTAGTGAAAAGCACCTTGATGTCTGTTTTCAATATCACAGAGATGCAGCCATCATCTACTGCCAGTCCTGCTCCAGGAGAGCTGCCTCATCCAACCCATCCCTGCTTAGGAGAGCTGGGCCACGGATGCAAAGGCTCCATAGTGAGACACAAGCCAACCCTCACAAGAGGTGAAACAGACCTGTCTTTGGGACGAGATGCAGAACTAAACTACTGACCCACTGTGGCCTTTTTTATTCCCTATGGCAGATGCTAAACCAGTTACAACCATGAATTTATTTCCCTGAAGTCAGAATCAGTTGGTGCTGTCTTCTTCGGTCAGCAGCAGACTGCACCCTGCAGCCAGTCTTCTGCTGCACTTAGTTCTTTATGGGTCCTACTTTAATGTCTGAAATCTAATTTTGTTCTCATTTAGATGTGGCTAAAAACTCTAGCAGCTCTTGTTTTCTCTCTAGATGAGCCCCTGTTTCTATAAATGGAACAGACGTTCTTTTGAAGTTGTTTCAGTTTAGAGATGTAAAAGGAAAGCCTGGTGCTCAGCCTCACCCTCTCCCACCACCTTCCTCCAGGGCTTTGCACAAGGCTTTCCAGGTAACACTCCTGATTAGTCAGTGCTAGTACCTGCAGCCTTATTTCCTGTACAACTCTGTGGCACCTGGAAGCAACTCTGAGACTGTGCACAAAGGAAGAAGTGGTATCAGGAAAGCACGTGCTGCACTGTGCTCAGCAGCCAAGGTGTCCATGCAGAAGCTGAAGGCTTTACATCAGAACCCGCACAGCTGGGAGCTGGGAGGCAGATGGAAGAACACGATCTTCCTCTTCCAGCAGCAGAAAACGATAATGCAAGTCAAACCACATCAAGAAATCATGCCTGAATTCCTATTCTCAGGAGTCATTTAGTCACCAACCCCCAAAGCTGCTTAGGGAAGCAGAGAAAACCAGGTCTGTAACTTGCTCTCAGTATTGAGGCAAAGAAGTGGAAGTCTGTGGTGTACCAGCGTGATTCAGAAAGACTGACACTTCATTAGTGAGAGTAAAGGCACCACCACCTAGTCTTTACTATGCATGTTTAGCTAGGTCCTGATCCAGTCATGAGATCCCTGCCCATGAGAAAGGCCTGTATTCCAGCTGCTTTTAGTCCTCACTCATGATACTTTTTGCAAGCATAACATGAAGCTCCCTTTAGGGAGGGGAAAGTTTAGATGTACCCTATAAAAATCATACGTTTTCTCTTCAGTTGTAACTACACGTTGCACTAGTCTTGTTTCTTAATTAACAGAACAAGCAACTTAATCTTTATAATTACACACCTTGGGAAAAAAGATTGCTATAGAAGCATTTTGCAGCGAGGTTCCTCGCCACCTCCACTGGGAATTCCAGCATTTGCCTCTGAAACAGAGAGATGTTGGGACTGGCATTTACCACACTCCAATCCACAAACCTCTGGTTGTGTCAGTTCCTGAATTACAGACCTGATGTCTGCAAATGATTGGTTTTCAAAGCGAGGGCAGCCATCCTTCCGAAGGCTGAGAAATAAATATATCATAAATCTGCATATGTGGCTTTCATTTATAAAGATCTAATTAAATTTTGTTCTGTAATTTCTCTATGGGGTATATACACGCAGTATATATTTTTTGCCTTTTCTTTTGGCCATAAATACAAGCAATACGTCATATAATTTTCTTCCTCTGTAACGTGCCTGGTTTTTGTGCTGGTAAAGTGACATCTTATCCTTTTGCAGTCTGTTACAGTGCACTATAGAATTTTTATTGTATGTTACAGTCTGGTTTGGAGATCATCCAGCAGAGCTATCTGCTTCCTTTTAAAAATAAAATAAAATACTGTATTTTTCATAAAGTGTGTAAAGCCATGCAGAAATCCAAGCATGGAAAATAAACACAGTATTGCCAATACCAAGCATTTACCAGGCCTGTTCTGGGCCACAAAATCATGAGTTTGCCTTACAAATCTTTAGAATTCAAAGACAAGTAATTTCAGGTTTCCTCAACTTGCCTCTTTTTCTTTCAAAACTTCTTGGTTGTTTTCAGGCTATTCTATACAATCAAAGAGTTGACAATTTACCTTCAATTTTAAAGAACGCTGAAACTTGCACATAATTACAGGATTTGGAGAACCAGAGCTTTCAAAAACAACTGTAACAAAATCTGTGGTAAAGCTGCCAAAGCTGGTGCTGCTGTAGGCTGAAATCTGGTACCTGGCATAGGGCTGACACATCCTCATCCCCATTAACCCTCAGCACTGAGATGCAGACAAATAAGTGGTGCTGTGACCGACTCCAACGCGTACAGCTGCTTCTCTATACTGCCTGTTAGAAACTCCAACTTTCTGCCTTACTGTGCCTGAGGTCAGTGCACACCCACCCACTGCTTCCAGAGCCCTCTGCAAAGCGCCCTTACCTTGCAAGTGTCTCTGCACAGAGTCCCAAAGAGCCCTTCCAGCCCAAGTTCCCAGGGCTCAGCACGCCCTGCAGTGCAGTTACTGCTGTGCGAGGATCAGGACTCCAGCATCCTCTCACAGACCCTCATCCCAGGGGCAAGGTGTGACAACAGACCACCAGGATGGGATTTACAGCGTTGGCTCTGGTTTAAAAAAAAAAAAAGGGGGGGGGGGGGAATTATCAAGACGTTGAGCTATTTTGCTCTGACATTTGCAAAACAAAACATTTCGATTTTCTGTGTCAAAATGAAACTTTGTTTTGACTTTTCAAATAAAAAAGGCTGAAAACTAAAAGAGCATTCCAAAATAACATGAAATTTTGCTTCAAACTAAAATATGATTTCCTTTAGCAGGGTCTGAGGTTTTTTTGGCTTTTTTTTCCTCTTCCAGAAAACACTGAAATAAAAGATGGTTCTGATCAATCTCAAACAAACACTGCTTTCCCCCAGTTTTTCTGCAGAATTCTTATACTGAAATTACCTGTTCTCTCTGTGTTGTGGTACTTCCAGTCCCCAATGGCAACTCACAGCCTATGGATCCATGTGCTGGTCCAGTTCTCATGGGCATGGTCACACCTGTACCTGCTGAAAGGAACGGCAATGACAGCAGTGAGTGCTGAGTGAGGCATTCTACTGGGCTCACCATGGGATAGGAGCTGCACAAGGGGATTTGGGGCTGCTTTATGCACGGGAGTCATATGGAGTTATCACACGTGTACAGCAGAGCTCTCAGTTATGATGTTTGTCAAAGAACAGAAAGGGGCAACGTACCCTCTGAGGTGCACAGGGAGTGCTCCTGTGGGGACTGCAGCTGGGGAGGGCTGCAATGCATTCCCATCAGTGCCGACATCCTCAGGGGTCGTGGGATTGGCCTGTGCATGAAACACTCCGGCTTCCCTGGCAAAACAAAAGCATTTCACTGCAGTCAGCAGAGCTGGACAAACAAGCAGGAGATGATGGATCATCTGTTTTCTACAGCCCAGCCCCAGGCAGGACTCAGGGTAACAGCACTGACAAACACGGGTGCCAAGTACTGTGCCTTGGCTCTGCCCGAGGTGCATGCAGCCAGATTTCACTGGTGCTAAGAGAAGCACTAAATCCTGTGCAGAGCAAGGCACGTCGCTCACCACTCCAGGCAAGGCTGTTTTCAGTTTCCTGAGACAGTCGTGAATTCATTTTAACCCCAGATCTGAGCACAAGATCATTTTTCCCTTCTCTCATGATGGGAAAGGAGCTCAAGTTCACCTCACCCGCTCATCGCTGTCAGTGCAGTTCTTGCACACTTCCATGCTGGGATCATGGGAATCATGCAGCAGTGTGTCAGCTCACATCCAAGCCCAGCCAGCATCATTCTGCAGCTCAGATATTCTCAGAAACATCTTTGGTGTGCAAGGCACCAGTTCCTTCACATCTGATACACAATCTGAGACTGCACATCCAGAAACCAACTTTTGTCATCCCGACACAAATGCTCAGGATCCAACCCAGCAAACGATGCACAAAAGGAGCCTCGCTCACACAGGCAGCCCCACAGCACATACAGGAGTGCCTGGCCCCAAATACAAATCCATCTTCAGATGATTTGTTATGGAGTGCATTAATTAAAGGGCATCTTTCACTGTGGCATTTGTTGCCAGTAAATGGGCTGTGTGTGGCAGTGATACGTTTCAGTGTTGACGTGTAAGGGTAGCATCGTTTCAGCAGTGATAGGGAGGTGTTGCTGGGATAAAGCCCACCCTCCGGTACCTCCATTTCTGCAGCTGCAGCCATGCCAGCCAGTTGAGTTTCTCTGTTCCACAGTCCCAGGGTTAATGCTTAGCAAGTGCCTAATGATTCCAGTGAGAGTGCAGAGACCCCACTTTGTGCTGGGTGCTGAATGAAATAAAAGGCAAACCTTGTATAAAAGCAAAACAGAAAAAGGCAGGTGGGAAAAGGGAGATGCAGGGTCAGATCCAGTTTAGATGCCCCATTCCTAGCAATAAATCACCCAGATTTTGAAGGGTGAGGCATGGGGGCAAGTGAGGAGTGCTCCAGCAGCTACTGGCACAGCTTCCACAGCCATCATGAGGGTCCCCGTGTGCCCTGCAGGGCACTGTGTCCCGTTCCATCAGCTGCCAAGGGCCCTTTGCTCCAAGAAAAGAAAAGTAACACCATTCTCTGTAAATTTCAGTTGTTAAATACACCCTTACATTTACATCGGGTCACACTGTGAGTCAGTGTGACACATAAAAGAGCCATTTTGCAGCACGGTGCTATGTGCCATAAAGATGTGATCAATCACACAAAGCAAATAACCAGCTCCTACAGCTCCCAGCTCCAGCAAGGGCAAATGTCAGCCCCATGCCAGGAATGAGCCCATGAGCTTTCCCACCCACATGGGGCAGAGGCTTCAAAGCAGCCCACGGGATCTTGAGGGAGATGGGCCCTAGGAAAGAGATGGGTTCAGCAGCTTCCAGTGCCTTGAAAAAGCAAAGCAAGTCCTGCCCAACCTTCAGGCCAAGGCAGGTCAGCCAGGCTGCAGGACTTCGGAAGCTGTCCTAATATTCACCTGTGCTCAGGGCACTCACAGAGTCACCGTGTTCAGTCACACATGGTGGCTAATGAGCCTGGGATGCTGCGAGTCTGGCAGCCCAGCCCAGGCTCACACCGTAGCATAAAGAGTGGTGAGGAATCACGGAGAGCCAATATGCAGTGGAGAACCGTTTGGGAATGACTTGCTGAAAACAGCCCCTGAACTCCATGAAGATTTTGTAAGCAGCACCGTAAACAGTTTTTTTCTAGGCTTTAGCTCTCGCCTGGTAAAGGAAAACTCACAGCTTAAACAGACTGCAAAAACAGGGAAAACAGCAACACAAAGTGCCGCAACCCCCGAGAGGAAAAAAAATCTTTATCCTGTGTCCAGGCAAAGACTGAACTCGGATTTAATAGCAGAAGCCTCTGCAGCTGCTCGGGCAAGGTTTGCTCCCGGGTCCTCGGGGGAAGGAGGCAATGCGTGGAAGCCGCCTGCAGGGAGCGCAGCGCCGGGCAGCGGGGCCGGCACGGATGACTCGCAGGCAGCAGTGCGGGCTGCGCTCGGGCCCCGCTGGCTGCTGCCTGCCCGGACCGGGCTGAGCGCCGCTGGGTTGGCACACAGACCGCCCGGGGTTCGCCGGGGTTACGACAGGCCGCAGCCACCCCGCTTCCCAGCGTGCGAGAGGTCCGACTTGTATCCTCATAACCTCTGCTCTAAACAAAGCGGCAGCGCCATTAAGCAAGACAAAAGCCAATAAAAAATCTGGATGGTGAAAGAGCCCATGTGTGGGGAAAACGCGCTATTGACCCAACAGGGCAGGGAGCAAAATTGCAGTTAAGATCTTATCCTGAGACAGTATGGATTGCCCCGATTTGTGGCAACACACTTAAACCTCTCTGCCGCAAAAGCTGCTTTTCTGCAAGACACCGCAGCGCAATATTGCAGCAGGAGACGGCAATACCCAGCTCGAGGATTGCAGGGGTAAACCCTCTCTGGGGAGAAGCCAGCGCTCCAGGAGCACTTAGCGATGCCAAGACAGAGCTACAGAGCTCTACAAAGAGCTTTCCTGCTAATTGAGCAAGTGAAGGCTTTTTGGAAGAAAAACAAATATATTTGCAGACAGGCTAAAACAATAAAGGGAAATTTTAAAAGCTGAAGAAAGGGACCGGAAAATCAACAATAGGAATTAAAATCTCAGAAGCTGTTGCCTGCAAACAGGCTGCAGAGGGTTTGCTGCCAGAGGGAACTCACAGCCTCCGACCCTTCCTCTGTGCTGCTGTGCGTTACCTGCATGGGAGAGGAGGTGGCTCTGCGAGAGCCTGCAGGAATCAACGTGGTGCTTCAGAGAGCAATAAATCAGCAAGCATCAAAGCCAGAATCTATATTGAGGATTTAAAGATCAGAAGTGTTGAAATTAAGAACTTTCCTTGGGGAGGAGCCAAACGCCAGGGAAAGGCAGAGCTGGTGGGGTCTGAGCTGTGGGGAGGCACAGGGCTTGAACAGGAGGTGGCTGTGCAGCACAGCATGCAGCTGGAGCCCCACTGCCCCTGGGAACACTACAGGTTATGGAGCTACAGCAGAAGCTCTTCCTAACAGGAGAATGCCAAATTCATTCAATGATTCAACCATCTCAATCAGCCACAATTCCACCGAGCTACAGGGTTGGGATGTGAAGGCCCAGGTTTTGTTGTGCTGCTGGGGATGGGAGCACTGCTCACAGCCACGCCAGCACGAAAAACCCCACGCTCCATTGTGCACTGACATCCAAACTCACACAATGTAGGAATCAGTCCTCAAGAACAGAGCAGAGAAAATCACATTCTTACAGAAGAGATCCATCTAGCAGTTGGCCATTTTCTCCAGCACAAACCACAGACTTTTGAGGGATTTCCAAGGAGGATTAAACCGTTTCTCAGTTTTGAGAAAAAATTAGGGTATGCCTAAAGTCATTTGCAATGCCCACGTTTAAGCAAGATGCCTGAGTGTATGCTCATATCCCTGCATTTCCTTTAATGTCAGAAGAAGACACGAGCTCCCCGTGCCACTCACAGCACCCAGTCCTCAGCTGCCCCTGGGATGGAGCCTGCATTGCCCAGCCACAAAGAAGCTCAAGGAGCTGGGTGCCAACCTCGTGGAAGACAGTGAGCAGCACCAACCTTCCCAGCCTCCAGAAGCAATTCCTTAATGCAAGAACACATCTAGATCCTGCTCCAGCTGCTAAATTAGATGCTAATCATTGCTGTGATGCTCAGTTCTTCCTGACACTGCAGTGAGAGCTGCTGCTCACTGCAATGCTGCCAAAGATGCTGCAGTTGAGGGGTGATTCAGTCTGCTTAACTCAGACCTCCTCACACACTGTGGGCCAGGTTCACACGATAAAATCCAGAGCCATTCCTTTGAAATGACTCTAGTTTTAGCTATTGCTGAAAACTACTGGCTTATTTCATCAGTGTTATTCTGGATTTACAGCAATGAAAATGAAAGAAAAAACTGAAATTGCCTATCATTGTCAGTTAACTGGGGTTAACACAGGGTGTGAATTTAAAGCAGAACTGTCACTGAATTCCTTCCCAGATTACAGCAGAACTGGAACAAAGACACGATTGGTTCTGGATTAAAATAGCAGGATTTGGGAATGTGCACTGCAGAGCAGCATCCTCTTCTGATTTTGTAACTCTGGAACAGCAAGAGAACAGTGCAGGCTCAGCAGGATGGCCCTTCTGCTCTGACCTTCTGGGCATCAGGGAAACTGCTTCCCACCTCCTTTCTTTTCCAAACCCAACTGACTCTCCTGAAAAGGTTTTCTGTTCACGCATACAGTGTGAAATTTTATAGGGCCCCCCTGCACCATTTCCTTTCAGCATTAGCTTTTATCGCTAAACTCTTAATTTAATTAAAATGGAAAAAAAAAATAAATCTCACAGAAAAGCAGAACAAGGATTTGTAGGAGAACAGCAGCGTTTTCCAAACATGCTTTCCCCATGAGTCAGGGTCCATCCTGTGCACTGACACATCCTGCAGACTTGCACTAACCTGTGGGCAAAGCTGGAGGGGAGCACAGCCCAGACACATGAAAGACACCAAGAGAAACCAGAGGGAAAACTCTGCATCCCAGGAACAGCCCTACAGGACACATTTTCCCAACAGTTTGTATTCCCAGGATATCAGCACACTGCTAATTCTGCTCCACGCTATGACAGCTGCGTCCCTGCTGCTGGACTCACAGGGTTTTGGAGGAGCTCTGATGTCTCTGCAGAATTATAATAATCACAATCACCACTGCCCTGTGCTGCCCTCACTGCACTCCTGCTGATGCTGGGAAGCACAGACATGTCCAAGCCTGAGGGGTGATTCCTACAGACAGGTTGTGCACTCACGCACAACAGTCACTCCTGTAAAATGCCACACCTGGACATACTTATTCTGAAATAAAATGTGACTTGATATTATTATTCCTTTGAACAGTTTGGTTGCTTTCTTTTAAGGTGGATTAGGTTAACACAAACCAATGCC